GTACTCATACTAGTACTTTTAAGTTAAACAAGGTTGTTATATAGTATTAAAATGATTTGGTATATAAATAAGTAAAGTAAATGAGGTTTAGAAACTCAAACTTAGTATTTAATTAGAGAATATGCTTAGTAATACCGTATACTCGTATACGGCGTATACGGAAATTTTTTACTTATGGTATACGCATACGTGTGTAAATATACGCCCGTATTTTCAGCTAAAATTTTCTCTTACGATACGGTGCGGAGCACTACCCCTTTGTTTGAGTTCTATTTGAGCTCTGCTACCGATTCAACAGACGCCCGCTTATATTAATTTGCATAATCAACGATTAGTCATTTGCCTCGGCATCAACTCTCTGCTCAACTTTCGTCATACGTTCGGCACGCCAGCGAAATGCATAGCCGACATCAATTCACTGTGATGCACTAGATGTTTATGTTACTTGCCGTGCGCGGTCGACATGCGTAAGACCACGGCGACGAAAAAATGTCGGATTTACAAATAATGGGCAAGAAATGCTGCAACTCAAGTTCAAAGACACTTCATAGTTTCCGCGAAGTCTCTTTGACACAATGCAATCTTCTAAGGTTCTTATTGTTGGGTCTGGACCCGCAGGCCTCATCCTTGGTCTATCACTCCTGAAGAACGGAATACCAGTCCGGATTATAGAGAAGGATGTGAAGCATCATAATGGCGAACGTGGTTCTGGAGTCATGGTTAGGCATTCCGTCTCTGCAATGTTCGCATACTTTCTAATTGCTATTTCCTAGCCACGCACGCTTGAAATTGAGCATTTCCTTGGTACAGATGAAGTCCACAAGACTGGGGCCAGTCTAGCAACGATTCACATTTTCGACCCGAAAGATCCTTACCGCATCATAAGGTCATCAAGAACAATGCAGGACATCGAGTCAACCCCCGCATGCCCAATTGTAAGCCTTCCAGATCGCTGATATAAGTGTAGAGTTTAATAGCTATTTAAGACCCGATCAGTGGTCCTTGGCCAATGGCGCCATCAAGCTATCCTTCGCAAGCACATCGAAGCTCTTGGCGGAAAGGTTGAGCTTGGATCTGCCTTTATTGGCTGTACACAGGACGAGAATGGTGTGATGGCGGAGATTCATAAAGTGATAGATGGCGTCGAGCAGACAGAAAAGGCTCGCTTTGAATACCTCGTGGGTGCGGACGGTGGTCGAAGTACTTCGAATGTTCTCTCTTTTTATATTCTCAAGTTGCTTACCCTTATTGTAGGTGTTGTGCGGAAAGATATGGGTGTCAATTTCCTTGGAGAAACACGTACAGAGGGTAGGCTGCATCTTGTTGATGCTCGTATAAAGGGCCTTGATGTCGACACGGTAAAAGGCATCATATTCGTACGCAATACATATAACTTACTGAAAATGCACAATTTTAGGACGTTCGTATGTGGGGTAGCTTTAGTTCCGCATTGTAGGTTTATTCAATCAATACCAATATCCAGTTCTCACTTTCCATTAGGGTGGTTCTTAGGCAGACGGTGCAGCCTGGCCTGTTCCAGGTGGCCTTTTCTGGACCCGAGACGAGATTTGACTACCTCAAAGAACACGATGACCCGCAAACAATCCAGGACGAGCTACAGAGGATCACGAACCGCACTGATCTTCAAGTCACCGAGATAATTTGGCATGGCGAGTGGAGGTTAGTCAAGTCGTACCTGCCTTGTCTGAGAATGATGTTTATGGATTGACTCAGACCGAACATTCGCATGGTGGACCGCTTCCAGGTCGGACGACTGTTCATCATTGGCGGTACGTTCGTTTACATGGCCGTGGAGAATTGCTACTGACTCCAGCTCTGCAGACGCAGCACATACGCACTCTCCAACAGGGGGACAGGGGTTGAACTCCAGCGTGCAAGATGCTGTAAGTGCCTTTTCGGGTCTGGTGTATGTTCTAATCTCGCTCGAAGCCTGACTCGATACCAGTTCAACCTTGCCTGGAAGCTTGCTTTAACAATCAAAGGGACTGCATCGCCACGTTTACTAGAATCCTACGAAGGCGAGCGCCTCCCAGTGATCGCGGAGATGCTCAAGCTCACGACCAAATTACTCGACCGCTTCATCCAGACTGACACCAATCCTGAGAAGTACGTCAAAGAAGCGGCAGAGAAACAGTCAAATAAAAATACGAGGAATGAAGACATATGGTTCCGCGATCGGAAACTTCTGCAACTCGACCTACACTATCGCTGGAGCCCGGTAGTCGTTGATGAGCGTTTCTTAGACCCTAATTCGGGGCCTACAGATGTATATGGCGTGTCAACCAACGAAAAGAGAGCTGGAGACCGTGCTCCCGACGCACCATCCCTCTCTGGAGTAAATGCCCCAGATCGTCTTTTTGACATATTCAACCCAGCTATGCACACAGTATTGCTGTTCGTGGCAGATCAGTCCTTAGTCGAGCAAGCGCACACGATCATAGCACCGCTCTCCTCGATTGATGGCGGATTGATACAGAAAGTACTTGTGTTCCCAGCAGGCGTAGACGCGTCGAACTTTTCAACCAGTGACATGAAGTATATTGTTGTGGACTTGGAAGGGCACGCATTTACCAATTATGGTGTGAACCGTTTGGATGGTTCACCAACGGTGGTGATTGTACGACCTGATGCTATGATAGGGGCATTCCTAAAGACGGAGGCTGGCACTCGCAAATATATTTCTGCGGTCTTTCTGACGAATCCGTGATTGCTTCATTGATACCCTATTTACTCTATTTGCACTTTCGTTATTCAAATAGAATCCCAGCTCAGTTGTTTGCCGATTTTTGAGTGAAATGTCCCTGCAAGGTTCCATTCACGGTTCCGCCGTCAGGCAAATATCAGACAACTCATAGAAATTACTGTAAAGACGGAGCAGGAGTGAGGATTGCATCTCAAGTGCGGAGGCGTAGCAGGGATCAGAAATGTAGGTAGGATAGCAATGAATGTGCTCGCACATCAAGCAGACACATGTTTGTTAAGCAGCTTCAAACAATTGCATCAACTAATAGCAAAGTCAATTGAAACGTGCATGGCTGTCAACAAAGGAATGCTTGCGCAGCTTCTTCTCGGCCATGCACATATCCTCACATTGTTATTAAGTCAATCAGCAAATAGTTACATTAACGAGTCTTTGATTATTAAACGCTTATATCTGTGCAGCTTATATTCTGGCTAATGTTCCAAATATCCGAGCTCAATACCCTTGATTTGCATAGCCTATCGAACGAGAATAGGTAAATCGCCAGTAAATGCATCAGCTACGACCGAAGTTGAAGGAAGCAGTAGACTTACCAGCAACTTCGAAGCGAACCTCGCAATCGAAAAGTCACCTATAGCAAACCAAAGCTAGAACATGGTCTTAGAAGACGAATTGCTAGCTTTCTGTATCACAATGCTTGCTTACCCCTGGTTGGCCAGATGGCTTCCATCCCGCTCGCATCTCTCCATGTTCGTCATTACCCATCAACGGACTCGTCTTATCTATGGCTTCTTTCCCGAATAATCGGACCAGCTTTTCACGGACTGGATGCCATCCGGTCCTATTAATACAAGACATCATTCAGCGAAAAATATCAGACATCGGGTGTGCGTGATGGCGAGGAAGGAAATGAGAACACGCACGCAAGTATGATCGCATCTGCCTCGAGTTCGGAACCGTCCGTGAACACGGCGGTCTTCTCAGTTAGATGATCGATTTCGACACCTTGCTTGACTTTAACTTTGCCGTTAATAATGAGTTCCGCACAGCCAACGTCAACGACTTCCAGAAAACTTGCGTCAAAGAACCGAATTCAAATTATTCAGGAAAAGAGACTTACAATAACCTTTTAACGTCGATAAGTCAGTTAGGGAAGCTTGGTGGCAGCCGAGGCGGTAGACTCACCTCCTTGACGGTCAAATGCCATCACTAATTGTCCTGAACCGTCCGGCCCGGCAAATAGTTTCATTCCAGCCTTCTTTAAACCATCATGCATATCTTTGTGGAGCTCGTCCACAAACGGTTGGAGTATCTTCCCTAGTTCGCGGAATGCGCCAAGTGGCAGTCCGGCAAACGAGAGGTCCGAGTAGTACGTAGGACGGTCCTCGGGGAACACCGAGGTGATCATCGTAGTGACATACTTATCTGAGACGACACAAGTTTCCGAGCGTTGGATCATTGTGACGCTCTGCGCACCACGGAAGACGAGATCCTGGCATATATCCACTGATGTATTTCCTGCCCCAAGCACGACCACACGCTTCCCCTTGTACTGTTCAGCTCCAGGGAATGTACCCGCGTGAAGAATGTCTCCCCCAAATGAGGAGGATCCCTTGAGTGACGGGATTACAGGATCACCCAATGCGCTCATGGCCATGACAATATGCTGTGGACGAAGGCGAATGGGTGTGCAATTGCGAATGACGGTCAGATCCCAGCGTTTCGTAGTGGAATCGTATTTCGGAGTTGGTACGAGAGTTGTGGAAGTCCAAACGACAAGATCCTGATCTTCAGCGTACCGTTCGAACCAATTTGCTAGCTTGTCTCGTGGAGTGAATGTCGGCCAGTTCGACGGAAATGGCTGATACAAGACTATGTGTTCCAGAGGTTAGAGCCTTAATGCAAGAAATATAATACCGAACTCACGGCCGTGGTGCGAGCGCGGAGTATGCAACGCAAGCGTGGGATACCTATTCCGCCAAACGTCACCGACGCGGGCAGTCTGTTCAATCACAATAGCACGAATGCCCATTTGACGGAAACGGGCAGCTGTATCGAGACCAGCTTGACCTGCACCAACTAATCTAGGCGTTAAGATGGAACGGTGACTGGGTATAATCTGGCATACTTATAACCACCTGAGGGTCCTTTTCAATTTCCTCGCGTCGTTGAGTATTGACCTCGCCCCATGTTAAAGTATGTCCGCCATATACGCCAGACTCGTTCTGTGGTTCTTCATGGCCTTTCCAGTCCCTTAACATCATCATAACGGCGAGGGCCTTCGGAATTTCGCCATCGCCTTCTTTCGGATAGTTCAAGCGGACATAGCCTTTACCAAGTGCCTTAGGTGTCTCGAAATCAAATGCCGTTTCAATAATGGGAGGCAGTACCGGACCAACTTGAGAAGCGCGGGGGCTTCCATGAGGATGGCTATCGAGGACAACATTCGAGACTTGTGCCTTGCCCAGTGCGGACTGTAAGTGGGTGCGGATAGCATCATGTCCGTGACGTGTCTCGAGGCTTGGATTGAAGACTAGTAGATCACGGAACCAACAAGATGGTTCAAGGCAGTCGAGCAAGGCTTTTACGTTTGCTTGACTGACAGCGTCACCAAACGCCTTGATCCAGGATGAGGCAAGTTCAAACTCCACGTTCGTCAGACCCATTTTCGTTATGAGATGTGAGAGACTCTAGTAAAAGCTCGAGGGTAGAAAAGAGTCGATGCTCGAGCAGTATTTTCGTAACTCCTTTTATGCAAGGCAAGGCGTACTGTCTCAAACATGCGCGCACGGCTTTTCCGAGAAATGATGGCATTTTGGACGCTCCCTTCGGCGCCTTGCTCCATGTGTAGCTTTTTTACATCATACCATTGCAAGCGGACAGAGCAAGGGTGCTCAAACAGCGTGGTGTGGTCATGGGCGGTAGTGCTAAGTTTTGATGTAAGACAGACCCTGCATTCTCGTTCCCAATCTGGAACTGCTTACAAATATTCCTTGTGCCGTTCAGGCTTACCACGTACTCTCGTTTCTCGGCACGGGAACACTGACTGCGATTCGTGTAATTACACTTTGTCGGTCATGGTCGGACTGAGCGAGAAGGCCAAGGGTAAACAAAGAGCCATAGAACCTCTGGATCCTGCAGAGCAAGAAGAACCGGCAAAGCCGACGCAACGACCTGTAACGATTCGCTTCACAGAGGGTCTACCCGACCTTACTCTCACACTTGGAATTCAGGACAGCGTCCGTACATTGAAGAGAAAGGTGAGCCTGATAGTTTTATTCTTTAACTATATTACGAAATGTCTCAGTGATTCTCAAGATTCGTGAAAACCGACCGCAAACAGTAAAACGTCGACTACGCCTCATTTATTCTGGGAGAATACTTACGAATGAAATTTTGCTGTTGGAATGGCTCGATTCACTGGAGAGGCGGCAGAAACGACAAGTCGATGCTCAAGAAGGGAAAGGCAAAGCAAAAGTGAAGGATGATTCCGACAATTTTGTCGGAGGATCAGAAACAAAAGCGTTAGGAGAGTTGGGTCCTACTTGGCTTCACTGTTCTGTCGGAGCAGAAGTTGCTGAAGTCGAGGATGAAGATGAGGAGCACGTTCAGGTACGTGACGACTTTTACTGTTTTGTGCTCGTGGTTGACTGACATCAGTTTCAAGAAATCACAAATTAAACCGCTAAGGGGCTTTGACCGTCTCGCAGCTGCCGGTTTTTCTGAAGAAGATATTGCCAACTTCCGTCGGACTTTTCATAGTCAATCAGCCGCAAACTACCTGGATGCAGAGCCACTGGGTGATGACGAAGACTGTACGTATGATTATTATATTTCTTCATTACTGCGTTCCTGATGATTTTGATGTAACGCAGACGAGGAACATGCACGTGCGCTAGAAGAGCGGTGGATCGAATCTCTCGATAGCGGTGCCGATTCGCCCATCTCGCCATCATCCGCATCAAGAACGCTCCTCCAAGGCCTCCTTGTAGGATTCTTCTTTCCCCTGCTTCCGTTCTTTTTCTTCCATGAAGCACGACCTGCAGTCTTCTGGGAGAACGGACGAAGCCAAGACGCCCCAAGCAGCGTTGTGTTTTCGTAAGTCCAGATTCGCTTTGTAGAATATTTTATCGTGATTCAACTCATGATTTCTATTCCATCGCGGTTCTCTTGCAGTAAACGGATGCAGATGGCTCTCGTACTTGGGTTTATTCTTAACATCACATTTGGTGCCTGGAGATATGTCCTTGGAAGATAGGCAATTCGAACATTCTACCAGTATTCCGTCCACATTGCACATCTACACATACCTGCTAAATTCTTTTACTCTGCCAGTTGTGTTATCCAGCCAGAATTTTTACACAAATACTGCCTATTTCTAAAATCCCGAGAAAAGAATGATTCCATATCACGTGACCCAATTTGCCCCTCGCAAACTTAATGTCCATGTTGCCTTTGAAGGTACAATTGACAGATTGCACACAGAAAATACAACAACTGATCAAGCGCCTATGTGAACCAAGTTGACCCATCTCTCAACCTGAACGTCGAGCTGTGCTTTTAGCTCAACAGCTGCCTTGCGTAGCCCAGCAGCCGCCCGCTTATACCTTGCCTCACCCTCGCCGCAATCCCATATGTACTCATAGATGTTCCGAGCAAGGAAAGGACCATCCTCATCAAGCAGCTCCCACATCGATCCAATCACGCTTCGAAACCCAGAGAATTGCATTGCTGCGGCTAAGTGAAGGACTTCATCGTGCACAGCGTCGTGAGGTTGCTCGGCAGTATGGCAAGCGGAAAGAAACGCGAACTCCGCATTTGGAATATTGCCTTGGACAATGTCGAGCAGAGTCAGTCCACCGTCGGACAGCTTGAACGAAGAATCAAAAGGTTTCGGATTTAAGTTTCCATGACAAACAAAGTGCACCCATGTTGCTTTCCGAAGTGCTTTAATCACTGTATTGCGAGTAACCACTGCACCACGAGATGGATCGCTGACGCGCATTTTGGTATCTATGCCGCAATTCCGGATGTTGGAAATTTCCCTTCTAGCCGACGAAAGCGAGGCATCTCCGATGATAAGCACCGTTGGTTCCCCTTCGTGTCCACCTGATCGTGCATCGATGAGCGCCCCGAGTGTTGGAGTATACGACGAGGCGTATTTGTCCAATAGATATCTGGCAGAGCCGTCTTTGTCCTTGAACGGACCTGCAGCGTGAAAGGGAAGCGCAGACAGCACAGACGTAGGACACCACCAAATGCGCGATCCCTCAGCAATACCCAGCTCCTCAAGTTTACTGACGATTTTGAAGACGACCCTATCCCATAACATTTTCATCACCCGGCGGAGCGTGTCGTCATATTGAGTCGAGTCAGCTCCATACAGCGTACGTGTTTCTAGGAGCTCTTTGCACAAGTTAGAGCTATCCTTGTAGAAATTTGCATCTAAAGGAATGCAGACAAGTGGTATATCCTCGCGGGGGAGCATAATTAGTGCATCACATCGGTATTTGCAATGGTTGATCACGACGACCGGTCCCTCTGAAGCTGCCTGTCGGAGTACTTTAAACGGTGTAGCGGCAAGAAAACTCTCGAAACCAGGGAGTCTCCGAATCTTCTTGATAATTTCTTCCTGCTCGTTGGAAAGTTGCCTCTTCAACTTCAGCATATCGTCGAATGACTGTTGCACTGTATGCACGCCGGAGCCAAGTGATCCATTGTTGCCCACCTTTGAACTGGACATCGATTCCTCGGAGGACGTTGCTAGACTTTCTAACTGATGACTGACACCCCTGAACCTTTCTGCAAGCTCCCTATTTGTTTCCATAAGTTGGTCTAACGCTGTTCTGAACCCACGCATCTGCGACCAGAGCAAAGCCCTTCCTTGCTCCAGTATCTCTATAGCCTCTTCAAGCCTGTTCCCCTCTACGGCGTAGGCCACTGCTTCCAATGAGAGCGTTTTATAGTTGCTCTTCCCCTTGAGAAAGTCGTGCTGTGAGTGAAGAGTGGGACTCACAATGAGCGTGCGTTGCAGAAGTGACATTGCCATCTCGTAAGCTCTGGACGTGCTGCTGTGAGCAAATGCCCGTGCAAGATCGGCCCATCGACTGGCAGAGTCGAGACGCACAACGGAACTAGAAAATTTATGCTTTGTAGCGCGTTCAAGCAATCGCATGCACACCTCTAAATCATCTGTGCATCCAAACTTCACGAATCGGACAGACAATGGATATGTGAGGTTCATCAATGATGAGGAATGATCAGCATGCCCCTCTGGAACAAGTTCCAAGGCGGTACTGTGAAGTTCTAGAGCCTTGTTGAGATCCTCCCTCCGTCCATGTCGATCGTATCGACGTCCCACGGCATTTGCGAGATTATTTAAAGACATGAAACGATCTTGATGTCCTTGTGGGCAAAGTTCCAGGGCAGCGTAATTGAGACTGATAGCCTCGTCGAGGTCCTCCGTCCGGCCATGATTTTTATATCTGGTATGCAATGAATTAGCAAGGTTAAGAAGAGACATCGAACGATTGGAACGGCCTTCGGGAAGAAGGACCAAGGCAGCTCGGTGAAGTTCGATGGCCCTGTCAATGTCTTCTGTCTGCCCATGCTGTTCATATCGCGTGAACAAGGCATTTGCAAGGTTATTCAGATATGAGGGACGATCATGATGGCTTTGTGGGCAAAGTTCGACGGCAGAATTGTGTAGCTCAATAGCTGCTTCGAGATATTCTGTTCGTCCATGCTGCCTAAATCGACTCCGCAGAGAATTTGCAAAGTCATTTAGTACTGCAGGACGGCTGGTGTGATCTTCTGGGCAAAGCTCTAAGGTAGCGCGGTGAAGCTCAATCACCCTATCGGAATCTTCATTCCGTCCGTACTGTTCAAATCGTGTTTGAAGCGAATTTGCAAGGTAACTCAAAGAGTTGGGTCGAAGAGGATGACCTTTAGGGCAAAGCTCCACTGCGGAATTATGAAGATCGATAGCCTCGTCGAGGTCCTCCACTCGTCCGTGCTGCTCGAACCGAATTTTCAGGGCAGTCGCTAGGTGATTCAAAGACGAGGGACAATCGGGATGACCATTGGGGCGGAGCTCCAGAGCGGCACGGTGAAATTTAATGGCCTCATTGAGGTCCTCTGTCTGTCCACATTCTTTGAATCGAGTTACCAGAGATTCTCCGAGGTGAACTAGAAGAGCAGAATAACGAGGATGGCCTTGGGGGCAACGATCCAGAGCGGTAAAAAAAAGCTCGATCGACTCGCTGAGATCTTCTTTACGTCCGTAATGTTTAAATTGGACTAACAGGGAACTCGCAAGGCTATCCAGGGATGAGAAATGATCAGGATGGTCCTTGGGACGAATGGCGGCACGATGGAGCGCAATGGCCTCTCTGAGATCTTCTTTCTGCCCACTTCGTTCAAACCGCCTCGTAAGGTATTAGATTGCACTCTGGATTAGGAAATCCCCAATTGCCTTATGTAGAATTACTGCTCTTGGAATGTCTCAGATTATCAGACTTCACTATGTAGTATATAAGGTAGATACTTGCTTGATGTCTCAATAAGAGAGAGTACTTGGGGCACTCCTGCTACACTTGTCAAAAGGTTATGAGCCTTGGTGCCCATTGAATGCCCCCACACACTTGCTCTTGCAGAACACCTTTGCCTCCTGCCAGACCACCAAGCCCAAGACCTCCCTCTCCCCCCAAACTCATTACAATGTTGTCTATGACACATACCTTTGTTAATGCTACAATGAAGGACTCTGACGTTACAAAGTTCTTTGAGGGAACAGAAAAGTTGGCTGGTGCAAAGGGATACAAGATATGGTGCTTGTGCATACACAGTGCACTCACTACCATAATGCTCTTAGACCATCTAGAGCACAATCCCCCTTCCTCTGATGATGCTGGCATACATACAGGCAATGTTTTGTATCATTGTATAATGAAAACAATAACTGATACAATTTATGTGAACTTCACAACACATACAAGTGTTAGAAGTCTCATGAAGGTGCTTTCTGAACAATACAACGTTCAAACAATGATGACACATACTGTAGACATATCCATGTTGTTTACAGTAAAAGGGCATGTATCACAGTTTGATAAGATGTTAGACAACATCAAACAAATCTATGAGCAGTTGTCTGCACATAATAAAGCCCCTAATAACAATATGTACATCTCAGCAATTAATCTCACTACTCCTTGTGAGTATAGATGGGTAGCAACAATGCTAGACAGGCAGATTACCCATTATAATCAACTACCAACAGTTACAGTGGCTCAGAAAGACATTCTGATGCCAGCTAAGCTGATACACAAATTATGAAACACATATACTAAGTATCATTCTTAGTACTCTCAAACGAAACAAGATACTGAACAAGACAGCCTACAAACAAAAGGCAAAAGTGTAGCTAAAGGGCAAAACAAAGCCTTACAATAAAGTTAAATGCTACAACTGTAACAAGTACAGGCATATGTTAAAAGACTGTCATAATCCTCTAACAAGCAAACACAGAGCTCAAAAGAAAAA